CGAAATCAGTAGATCATCCTGAGTCCGAGCTCATTCACCAGCTACACCAGTCCGTTCACTCCTCATGGACGTCAACTAAAGGTGCGACAATACATTCCAATCCAAAGTCATGTGGTATCCTTCTTTATATCATGCAACTCCTTTCTGTTGTATCCAATCTCCTGCCGCATAATAGCCAATATTTCAAATTAAGTCCGTAGACCTAGTCACTGACCACCATGAATCCCAAATCACTCTAAACTTCCCTCAAGGCGTGTAGCTATCATATCACAGAACCCACGTGCTACTCTGTCACTCTCCTACTTTGGTCAAACCCTCTCCTTTAAGCAACTACTCGACTTCTATTTCTCACACTTGATCTTCTAGGAACTCAACCACCACAAGACACCTCCCACATGTCCTTCCTCATACTTCGTCGTCTAGTTGTTGCCTTAAATCATTATCTATCTCTGTAGCATTTGAATCATTAGATCGCTAATAACTTTAAACTCCTTCAAAGATCATCTTTCTCGAGCCATCAACACCGGGAATGCCGATTCGATCCTGAACCACTACACACTGCGACCTCTGACAGCCGCTTTCTCGGCACCATTTATAATACTCTACCCCAAGGCGAATTAAAGAAAACCATAACACAGGCAAACTTAACACATCATAACCAATCAAGGACAATGACGCCACATCACAAGCGAAGATTCCACCACGCTCGAAAATATCGAGTCCTACTACTCCATCAACCCAAGTCTGAACATTTTTAGTTCGATTGCCTTTCCTTCGTCGGAAGTAAAATACCGAATCTCTGAATCATGCATTAAGTAAACCTCCTTTCAAGCCATTTACTTCCCCGAGACATAGGCAAATATCCTACCATCACATCAATATTGTGCGATAACAACTCATGAGCATCATAGCAACCTGTACATAGCCTCAAAGCTCTCGGAATTAGAGCTACTGAGCTGAAATGATAGAATATCCTTCTATAAGGCGACGACAATAGCCCAATCAACTATGCAGGGAGAAGCATCCTGCACCACATCTGTAGTACCATTACAATTCCTCAATTCTCGATCGATAGCAAGCGTTTCACGTCGCATAAGATTGAATGGGAAGGAAACAAAGGCATAAGCCTCAAAAGAACAAAATCGCACGATGAGGATCAAGAAGGGAAGTGCTCCTAACAGTCCTGTAGCCTCTCGAAGATAAGTAGAGACGTCTCTGTACCGATCCGCAAGACTCTACTAGACTCGCTCATGACTCGGTAGACCTAAGTGAACCTAGTGCTCTGATACCATTTTGTCACAACCCAAAATTCATAAAGGTCGTGATGGCGCCAGACTCTACTGTCAGGCAAGCCAACATTAAATAGTTAATTAAATCCTCATTTTAATATTTTTGAAATCGTAAATTTACTTCAATTTATCTAATAAAAAATGAATTTACATAATAAATAACAATATTTTCCAATTCCAATAGTGAACATCCCATAATCATCCAAGAACCCGGTGTCACAAGTGCGTGAGCCTTTTCTAGAAATTTAAAATAAAATACAATAACTGTCGGAATACAACTTGGACAGGAAAGAAAATACAATACTCTGAAGGAGACTTTGCTGGCTGCAGTGCGTCGTATAGAATGTAGCCCACCTAAGTCCCCGCTATAATCGCGTCTCTGCGTCCACAAGGCCGCTAAACATATGTGTACCTGCACAAAAATGTGCAGCAAATTTAGCATGAGTACGTAAATCAACGTGTACCCAGTAAGTATCCCGCCTAACCCCGAAGAAGCAGTGACGAGGGATCGACTTCGACATTTACTAGTGGTCCAATAATATCAGGTACAATAAAGAAGTGAATGAATCTGAGACGGAGTAAATATATGAAACAAACAAGTATAAAATACGTAGTACAATTTTTCTCTTTACAATTTACTCAAGTNGAACGGCCCGATCCCATAAGAGTGGTAGAAGGAAATACCCCGCTCGCGAATCATACGTGCGACATGGTCAAATATAAATTTAACATTAAAATCATATCTTTTTCTTGATTCTTTTCAAAATAAGAGAAATTCAGCTTGTAGCTTTTTTTTTTAAGGAGATTACCCCGCTCGCGAAACATACATCCGACGCGGTTACACATAGATTTCTTAAGCTATTAGCATTACTCAATCCTTTCAAAATTACGAAATTCAAACGAACCATTTTAAATCTTACGTTCTTCAATTTCAACTCCTTTCAAAAACATTTAATAAGCAAACTCGATCTCGCTCCCCCTCAAGGCAGACAATAAACATAAATCAATAACAATATCAACAAGGCATGATGTGAGCATAAAACTATCCGGACATAGGCATAGCTAGTGGCTATGTACGGACTCTCATCACCTCGTGCGTACGTCACCCCCACAAATAGAAGCACACAATAATTTAATTCACCTATGGGTTAATTCCCTCTTACAAGATTAGAAAGGAGACTTACCTTGCTTCGAAATTCCATAACCGGCTCCAAGGCCGCTCCGACAATTCAAACTGATGCCCGTCGCTCCAAAACTAGTCAAATATGATGCAATCGAATCAAAATATACTCTAATACCCATAATTAATTATTTTATAACAATTTCCAATTCCATTCAAAAAGTTGATAAAATCACCCTCGGGTCACGTGCCCAGATTCCAAAAATTTTCGAAGATAATCATTATCCATAACCTTATGAACTCAAATATATGATTTATTCCCAATTTCATGCCCAAATTCGTGGTCAAAATCCAAAATACCAAATTCTAGGTTTTCTACCAAAATCCCCACAATTTATACTAATTTTCATGTTCAAATCCATATAAACTCATTTATTTAACTCAAAATTGTGAAGAAAGCACTTACTCCATTATGATTGATGAAGATGACACTCCAATGTTATCCAAAATCGGCTCTCATGGGTGAAAATAAAATGAGATAGAGCCAAACTCTCGCTTTAAAGGAGACATTGCCCAGCCCCAACTTCCGCACATGCGGCCTCTTCGTCGCATCTGCGCCTTCGCAGGTGCGGACATACCCTCGCACCTGCACTCCCAAATTCTTTTCTCACTTTCGCACCTGCGACGCACCTTCGCATCTGCGACTTCGCAGATGCGGACAACCCTTCGCACCTGCGATCACTACCCAGCTTCGCGCAAACCACACCTGCGACCCTTATTGCGCAGGTGCGATCACACCAGATATCAGCTACCTCATCTTTTCTGCCAAGTTCAAACTCGATCCGTTAACCATCCGGAATCCACTCGAGGCCCTCGGGACCTCAACTAATTATACCAACACGTCCCAAAATACGTTACGAACTTAGCCGAGCCTTTAAAACACATCAATCAACGTCGAATTCATGAATCCCACCCCATTCCAAGCTTAGTGAACTTTAGAATTTTAAACTTCTACATTCGATGCCGAAACCTATCAAATCACGTCCGATTGTCCTCAAATTTTGCACACAAATCATAATTGACATTACGGACCTACTCCAACTTTCGGAATCGGATTCCGATCCCGATATCAAAAAGTCCACTTCCGGTTAAACTTCTCAAAAACCTTCAAATTTCTAGCTTTAGCCAAATGAGTCCTAAATGACCTACGGACCTCCGAATCTACTTCCGGACACGCTCCCAATACCAGAATCACCATACGGAGCTATTCTCAGACTCGAAATCTCAAACGAACATTGATAACATTGAAATGTATTTCAACCCAAATTTATGAAATTCTTCCAAAAGGTGGGTTGCTCTGATGGTAAGCACCCTCCACTTCCAACCAAGAGGTTGTGAGTTCGAGTCACCCCAAGAGCAAGGTGGGGAGTTCTTGGAGGGAAGGATGCCGCGGGTCATTTGGAAACAGCCTCTCTACCCCAGGGTAGGGGTAAGGTCTGCGTACACACTACCCTCCCCAGACCCCACTAGTGGGATTATACTGGGTTGTTGTTGTTGTTGTTGTTCCAAAATGCCAACTTCCACAATAGGCGCTGAAACGCTCCCGGGTCATCCAAAATCCGATCCGGACATACGCCCAAGTTCAAATTCATCATACGAACTTGTTGGAACCTTCAAATCCCGATTCTGATATCGTTTACTTAAAAATTCAACCTTAGTCAATTCTTCCAACTTAAAGCTTCCGAAATGAGAATTTTCTTTTCAAATTAACTCTCAACTTCTGAAATTTCAATTCCGACCATGCGTACCAGTCATAATACCTGAAGTGAAGTTGTTCATGGCCTCAAACTGGTGAACGACCCACTAGAGCTCAAAACGACCGATCGGGTCGTTACAGGATCATTGGAAACTTATTTGTAGTTTTATGATCATATTTCTTTTTTTACTGGGAGATTTGCTTTTATACATAAGAGATCTAAAAATGATATTTTCTTAATTTTAACATTATAAATGGCCATGAAGGCCCATTCCCTCCATAATTATCACTATTGCAAATTGTTTTTTTTCCTGATTTTCTTTATTTAAAAGAAATATTGCTTTGATAATTTACCTCTTAAATAAAAAACAATATTGAACTCAAACTATTTATAGTTGCATTTTACATTAAATTTAGTCTTATGGATGGATCTTTCATTTTATTTAGACAAACTCATATTTGGGCCCGTTTGGCCACAAGAAAAAAAAAATTTGAAAAAAGTTCACTTTTTTCGTATTCACTGTTTTCGGAATTTTTCGAAAATTTGAATAACTCCAAAAAGTTATTTTTTAAAATTTTCACTTCAAATCACTCACAAAAATTCAAAAACAGCTCCAAATGGTATTCATGTCCAAACACAACTCTAATTTTCAAATACCATTTTTCACTTTAAAAAAAATTCATTTTTTTCCGAAATTTTACAATTCTTATGTATAAACGCCCACTTTATTTGAACGAGGATTTGAATCAAAACCAAATAAAAGGAAAAACTGAAACTTGAAATTACAAATTGGTCTCTCTTGTGCTATTTAACTCTTAGAGGTGTTATCAAATCATTCCAAAAAGTTGAAGGGGTCAAACTATAACTAGAAGTGCACTGTCTCCATTTCAGAGAGACGAGAGTTGTGAAGTCCGAATTCCGATTATCGAACGGAGCCACCGGCAAGAATTGCTTTGGGCGAATCATCTACAGGGATATCGCAATGGGATACGTGCAGGAAGCCCGAGAAAATCACGTCAAGAAGAAGGTCGAAGAAGGTACATTTGATCTTAAACCCCTAATTAGTCATGTACACTAATCATATATATTGTCATTTGTGAAGCATCAAGTAGGCGTAGGATACAACCGCACCCATTACTACTTTGTGGAAATGAATGCCATTTTTGTACAAATGTATATATTGTAAAAATTGCTCATACTTTATGCAGTTCAAGTCGAGTCTCAAATGTGAGCTTCAAATGGCAAAAAACAATTGTTTAATCACCTCCATATTCCACAATTCATTTTCCACATCTGTTTAATTTTCTAATAAACCATTTGGAAAGCTGGAGTTGTTGGCCTAAGTTCTGTTTGAGTAATTTTTGTGGTATCTCAATGGTATGAGGCAGAAGGACTACTTGCTGATATATGGCACTATATGTCCGCAGTTCTCCTTAGAGTTTTATTTGTTTCATTACGTTTTATATTGCTTATCAAGGACATAATCTCCTCCTCCATTGTAGTTTTTCCGGTTAAAGAATTTATAGGAGGTTGCAAGGTTGTGTGTGGGTGACAAGAGGGGTTGCTCTGATGGTAAGCAACCTCCACTTCCAACCAAGAGGTTGTGAGTTCGAGTCAACCCAAGAGCAAGGTGGGGAGTTCTTGCAGGGAAGGATGCCGAGGGTCTATTGGAAACAACCTCTCTACCTCATGGTAGGGGTAAAGTCTGCGTACACACTACCCTCCCCAGACCCCACTAGTGGGATTATACTGGGTTGTTGTTGTTGTTGTTGTTGTTGTTTGCAAGGTTGTGTGGAATTAGGGTAAAATTACCACTAGAGATTCAATAAGGAGGTGATGGGTGAGAATCAGGAAGAGCGAGAGGACGGAGGCAAAAATGGAATCTGCTCTGCCACAGTCGTACACCTTGTCTACAATTGCTTCACTCTTTTTTTTTCCTTACCTTACTAGGTACATTTCTTTAGTTTAGGTATGGATTCTCACGTGCTCTTGTAAGGAATGTGAGTGAAACTTTATGTTGTAACTGCAAGGAGGAGATGAAGGAAAGACAATAACCAGAATATTTGTAAAGATTACTAAAATTGCAGGGAGAGTGCACGGTTAGTACTGAGCTGGACAAAGTGCTTGCCAGGGATGCAAGGTAGTGCTGGAAAAGGATTATTGCAGGGAAAGCCAGACCTGCTAAGCAGCCAGCATGCCCATTGCCATTACTAATATAACATGATTAGGGTAGTTTGAGGGGTCTTAGGATGACATGTTATAGAAATAGAGTGTGGGTAAGAAATGCAGTGGGCTTACACAAAAATATGTTTGATTTGGTAATTTGTTTAGTATAAGGTACAAAGTGGCTCGTTTTGACGAATTGAAGGTAGATTTGTTAAGCAAGACTCCACGTAACTACCTTGTTATAGGACAGGGACATTATCAAATTTGTAAGCCTCATTTACTAAATGAAGAAGAAAGATGATTTTCCACTTTCAAGCCTTTAAAATTTAATTTGTTGGTTGTGAAACTATTTTAGGTATTCTTGTGTTGTCCATTATTGATGTTCCTCAAGAACACTCTATATCATCTTCAACCCTCCACATTAAGTGCTTAGTTTGTTTCTCTCTGTGATTGTTTCCTCTAAACGTTGAGGAAGTTTTCGTTTTGATAGGGTTGTTATTGGTTTAGAGTCCTATTCATTCTTTCTGGTCATCCAGAAGCAGAGAAATAAAACAACATAGCAATTCGGGTCCGCTATTTGAATCATCACTGTCCATGTTAGCGCCCAATTTTGATTTAGATTGAGATGTGCCAAGAATATCTGGTTGCTTTTGTTTTTTGGTGTCTTGACATGTGATGCAAGCAGTTGTCCTTGCTTGGATCTAGACGCTCAAAAGAACAAAGCTTTTAGTTCACTTTTCCAACTTATGTCTTGCCACATTATTTGGTCCAACAGAGTTGGATAAAAGTTTGTCATTCATACTTTCGCAAAAGCTTCCTGTTACATAGTCAGGACCATGTCTGTTTGACATTTTTATGCCTGTTTTTACCTGACAAATATGACTTATATTTATACCTTAAATGGCAGTTCCCTTATGTATTGCGGTCCGCTGTTTTTCAGCTACTGTCATGAAAAAATAAATTTATCTTTCAGTCATATTCCTTAACTTGAATGTTTTATGCATCAATAATTCAGCTTTGCGCAGTAAAATGAAGCAGAAAGCACTTCAACAATGCAATCACTACACTGCAAAGTATGCTGAATGTGCCTCAGGAAGAACATTATCTGTTGTTTGGCAGTGCCGCAAACAAGCTAAAGAATTAAATGGGTGCCTCCATCAGTAGTATGTTCCTCATCTTTGATTCAACTTGTTCTTTCATCTTTAGTTACGTCTAAATATGTTCAGCAACTATTTGCTCTCATTTTGGTTATCATGACATCTTTGTCTTCCATTAACTTGCCTGCAATTTTCCCACGATCTGATGACAGATTTTCTTTGAATAAGTCCTCAAGAGAAACTGAGCTTAACTGCAAGGTTCAAATAGTTATGTACCCAAATGTGAATACTGGAAGTTCGAGCTGACAAATCTTCTAACAATCAACTTTGCCCATTATCGATGGGTGATCTTCTGAAAACTTAGAATGCTTATTTTAGAAGCATTGTTCATGACAGGTGTGTTAAAACTTAAGATAAACCATAGGAGGCTTATTACTTAATTAAAAAAAAAAAAAAAAAAACTTAAGATGCACTCAAGCTTAGGCCATGGCATCCCTTTGAGATAAGGTGTGACTAAGCAAGTAAATTGATATTTTGAATATGTTTGACATTTTGAAAGTACGGAGCGGTTAGAATTAAGTTATTTTTGACAATTATGCCCTCAGGTTTGAACTAGACTTGCAACCCAAAGCAGAAAAAACCCTAAAGGGAAAAAAAGTTAACCATGGGTATTGGGGGGCAGAACATGTAATAGGGGTAAAATTATTTCTTTGACCCGTAATTCAAAGGGGAATTTCAAGTTTATAGGCAAAATTTTGTTTCAAAACAAATGTAGGTGTATTAGAGACCAATAGACCATCATCTAATCCTCAGCTACTCAATGAACAAACCAGAGGCAGGATAAATGATTTCCGAGGACTGTACCCCTTTATCTCCGCGACCAAACTAAATCCATTGGGCAGTCAACATGTTATTGTAATATTTTAGCGCTTAAATTTCGTGATGCACTCTGATGTTCTATTTTTTTCCCCTTGTTTCCTGTTCATGCAGTACAAATGACTCTGTTTTGGAAGAAATGAAGAAAGAATACATGCTTCAACAAGACGGGAAGGAACCACCTAGAGCTTGAGTTTCACTTTCTTGGTACTTTCAGTTTGTAGCTCTAAACATTGTCATTGTACCTACTTTCTGCTTGGTCAAGTTATACTGGAATTAGAGTGGTTTCTGCTCAGTCATGTTGTACTGGAATTAGAAGAAGAATATTTGATTTTTTTTTTCTTTACTTGAAAAGGAATAAGTGGGCTTCGTATTATGCAAGTCATTTCTGGGATGAGATTATTATATGTTGCTCCAGAGTTGGGATTTCGTTAATTGTGACATTAGTATCCTGGTCAGCTCGAAGGTACTTCCGCTAATACAGTGGGCAGTTTGCTATGATCAAAGTTTGAGCAGATGGGTTTACACAGAGTGTCTCCAACATAGCATGTGGACTGGTCTTAAACGTTAATACAAGAAAAGATAGCTAGTTTGACACAATGTTCAATATAGATTTGTGTTCAAACAAGTTATGTGCTACCACGGCGCAAACGAGGAAACATAGTACTCCCTTTGTTTCAATTTAGATGACGCATTTCGCTTATCGAGAGTTAATTTAACTAAACTTTGAATTTACATTTGATTAATTCATTTCAATATTTTAAAATTAAAATTTAGATATTCAAAAACTATACGAAAAGTATTATTAGTTACAATTTTTCTCATGTTAATATGATAGAAAAATATATTTTAAAATGTTAGTCAAACTTCACTCTGTTTGAGCGATAAGCTAAATATTTCATCTAAATTGAAACGGAGGAAGTACTATTTTATCATTCTATTAATACATCTCGGATACTTGGACATGAAAAGAAATGGCTCTCTTTGACAAGACGAATGTGTGTTTGGCGAGGAAAAATAAAAAATAATTACTATTTCTTAGGCCTATTTTCTTATCACGCACGAGATGTTCCCAAGTCTAGAGACTAGAGGGACCCTTTCTTAACCTATATGTGAACGGATTAATTTTATGGTAAAGAGCCAAAAATGTTCTTGAACTATCTCAAATAGTTCAAAAATGTCATTCGTTTGTTTTTTGTACCAAAAATATCCATGTCGTCTATACTTTGGACCACAAATGCCCTTAAACTGTTAGTCTTGTCATTGAAGGTGACATGGTAGTCCAACTGGGTTAGATTTGCTTACATGACCATCCACCTAAGCAATCCAACATGGCAAAATTATTTTTTCGGAAAAAAAATATTTTTTTTGGAATTTTTAAAAAAAATACAAAATCAACACTTATTCCGAAAAAAAGTAAAAACAATTCCGGAAAAATTATTTTCTGAAAAAATAATTTTATTTTTTCCGGATTTTTTTTTATTTTTCCGAAAAATAATTTTTTCGGAATATTTTTTACTTTTTTCGGAAAAAGTATTGATTTTGTATTTTAATAAAAATTTCTGAAATAAATAATTTTTCCGAAAAAATATATAACGGTTTAATGGCATTTGGACAACAAAATCAACACTTTCCGGAAAATTATTTATTTCGGAAATTTTTATTAAAATACAAAATCAATACTTATTCTGAAAAAAGTAAAAAATTTCGGAAATATTATTTTTTCGAAAAATAATTTTTCTGGGAATTGTTTTTACTTTTTTCGGAATTAGTGTTGATTTTGTATTTTAAAAAATGGGAAAATATTTTTTTCGGAAAATTATTTTTTCGAAAAATAATTTTTCTGGGAATTGTTTTTACTTTTTTCGGAATTAGTGTTGATTTTGTATTTTAAAAAATGGGAAAATATTTTTTTCGGAAAATTATTTTTTCGGAGATTTTTTTTTACTTTTTTCGGAATAAGTGTTGATTTTGTATTTTAAAAAAAATTTCGAAAAAATAATTTTTCCGAAAAAATAATTTTGCCATGTTGGATTGCTTAGGTGGATGGCCATGTAAGCAAATCTAACCAGTTGGACTGCCATGTCACCTTCAATGACAAGACTAAATGTTTAAGGGCATTTGTGATCCAAAATATAGACGGCGGAGATATTTTTGGTACCAAAAACAAACGGAGGGCATTTTTGAGCTATTTCAGATAGTTCAACAGCATTTTTGGCCCTTTTCCGTTAATTTTATTCTGATTTTTTCCATCTACTTGTTCGACTTTGAGGAGAAAAGGACAATGTTGCTGAAAAACATTCCATGCATCTCTCGATACAATTATTGAACTATTTCTACTATAACCACAAGAACCTAAATTACAGAAATAGTAAGAAAAGAAGCTTTCACCGAAAAATTCATCTTATGAACGGCCATATTGTTGGATCATGGAATTAAAATAGTAGGAAATAAAGACTAATTTATAATAGTAGGTTGTCCAACATATGAAAAAACATGTGAACAAGACTAGCTAGTACGATTTGATTCTAACTAATAAAGCAACAAAAACACCCTAGCTACTATACTATATAAGCATCTAAATAAAATAGTAGAAGCTAAATTAATTAATCTTTACTAACAAGCTAAAGAGCTTCGATAGAACAGTGAGTTTTCTTAGCACAAAGCTTTTCCAACTCCTTTGCAACTTCTTCAATTTCTTCATCTCCTTTGGAACGAAGCATTTCCTTCATATCCCTTGCCTTTTGCCTCACAAATTCACCATCCTTCTCCACCACCACTTGGTTGATTATGGCTGCAACTTCCTCTCTATGAAGTTTTGCATTACTATCCCTCACAACTTCCACAGCAATACCAACCTCTTCAACAAGCCTAGAATTAACTGGTTGATCAATATGCATTGGCATAGCGATAATTGGAACACCATATTTCATGCTTTCCATTACAGAACTCCATCCGCAATGACTCACAAATCCGCCAATACTTGAATGCTCCAAGATTTTTGCCTGTGGTGCCCATCCTTTAAAAACGTTTCCCCTATTCCCTACCCTATTGAAAAACCCTTTAGGTAATGCCTCTTCAAGTTCAAGATCTTCCCCTTTTTGGAACCTTATAGGCCATATAAAATTCACCTTACTCTTTTCCAACCCATAAGCAATCTCCAATAAATCTTCCTTGGACAAAAAATATTCACTTCCAAAAGATACAAAAATTGTGGATTTCTCCTCCTTTTCATTCAACCATGTTATTAACTCTGATTCTCCATCATCAATAGTAGGTTCTTGAACTAATGGACCAAGTGGTACAACTTTTTTCCCAGTTAAATTAGTGATATAATCACTATACTTACCCTCAATCTCCTTAAAACTTTTTATCAAAACAAGATCACTAGATAGGTAAAAACAATCTCTAACTCGCTTCTTATCTTCCTCAAGCTTTTCCACAGGCATAGATGATTCATCTTTCTCTATACGAGCCATCTCATAGTCACGATAACAAATAGACGAGAAGGGAAATTTTATACCTGGGTTGTTGAACACATGCAACATATAAGAAGTCATTGTAGCGCTACTACTAATAAATTCAACAGCAGGGATTTTTAACTCAGCAGCAGCCTTTGGAGCCCAAGGTTGGAGAAAATCATAAATCAATAAATCAGGTTTTAGGGTTTTCAAGATTAGGGTAAAATCAGGACTGGCTAAGTCAAAAGCTTCTTTGAGAGTGTTCATAAGATGAGGTGGGAGACCATTTGTGGTGTGGTGACAAGGAGGAAGATTAGGTAAAGTTTGGAGATTAAGTTCCAAGAATTGGATTGATGGTGAAAATTCTGGGCTAAGGTTTTTCTTAATAGAGCTTAGGTTTATTGGCGTAGAACACAAGTAAATAGTGAAGTTTCTTTGGCTGAGCTTTTTGGCTAACTCTAAGAAGGGAGAGATATGGCCATAGCCCAACCATGGAAACATCAAAACTCGAAGTGGTTTTTGATTATCCATAAAACCATTCATGATTTCTTGAATTTTTTTTCTTTCTCAAACTTAATTCTTCTCACAACTTTTTGGCATGCAAAAAGGGATTGATATGGAGTTATATTTATAGTTTATCAACAAGTTCATTGTATGGTAAGTTGGAAAATATTGGAAGATCTATAAGTGTTTAATGCACAAACACGTAGAAGGAAAATGCGACTATATATTTTTGGTATACGTATAATATCTGCATGGTTCACTTTCCTTTTGCGTTGTTCCACTTTCTTGTATTTCTTCCTCTTCCTTTTCAGTTTCTTTTATAACTGGATTTCTTTTCCTTTTTTATTTCTGGTAACTATGCTAATTGGGAACCTATATATGGTAGTTATTTTGTTTAGGTGGTAATACCTTATGTACTAAAAAAAAGGTAAACTTAACGTACTCGGAAATCAATCCATAAATATAAATAGAACCCTAGATTTCCAAGTGTTTATATATAGACAAGATTTTAAAAGAGTAGAAATAATCTTTTCTTTTATATTCTGTCGTTTTTCATTTCTCAAATTTTTAAACTTTATTCTTCATTAGTGTTTTTTATGTGGCACAATTATTTACAGAAGCAAAGTGGGATTTCTTTCTAATTCAGACAAGCCAAGTGGGATGAAAGAGTTAAATTATGCATCCAGTGAGAAAAAAGTTAGATCAGATAAAATAAAATCTTATTACCGAGAAAGAAAAAAAACAACCCCGTTAAACATAAGGGGTATAAGCTTATCAACGTATACATTATAATGTAATTTTTTTTTACACAAAATATGAAAGAAAATTACTGCGTTTGCCTAATGTATATATGTACAAACCAAAAGAGGATGTGCGTTATTATAAGTCAGAACTTCGAGAAAGTTAGGTGTAATTCTCCTATATATAGGATTTGTAATTAAAAGTTAGAATAAACGGGCAGTGAGCTACATATATGATTTTCATACTTCTTATTTTATTTTTAAGGAAATAATAACAATAAATTTTTAAATTCACCTTGGTTTCGTTCCAATAGAATCTTTAGAATTTTAAGGAATACCTTTTCAGTACTAAAAACATTATGTTAGTATATTCCCTTAATCTTGAGATCAGATTTGTATATATTTCTATTCCAAAAAGTAACACCACTTGACATAGTTAAGTCAAGAATAATTATACTGGCCAACGCAAGGAAATAAATCAATGAAGAAGAAACAGAGTTTTTGAAGGAAAAATTAGGTCACAAACTTCTCTAAAATCCTGAAATGCTGTATATCCAAGTTGTAGGCGTGCTTCTATAGTACTAGTCTCTCGTCACATGCGTTGCACGTAAGCACTAACTTATATATTATATGATTTTTGTAATAATATGAATATTATAGAAACAAATATTTCAATAAATAAATATACCTAAATAATAAAATATAAGTTTTGTG